CCGCATACGAGGCAAGGCGAGCAGCGTGATGAGGTGGAGCAGCTCCCTGGGCGTCGTGGGCAGCGTGAAACTCCATGGTCTGCGTGACTTTGCGGGCATCCTCTAGCATGTCGCACGGGACGTTCAGCCATCGACGCCCACGACCAGGACGGGGAACAAGGAAGCCACGCTCGGCGGCTCGGCGGCGCCTGGCCATCAGCTTCGCGGGCGAGCGCCGATGGACCATGGCCAGGAGGGAGGCGAACAAGAAGAGGACCGCACGTGGCAGTTCGCAACCAAGACTCAGCCGCCAGCCGCAACGCACCAGGAAGCTATGCCGCAACGCATTGAGCCACTGGGGGTTCGCTCGCTGGTGAGCGGCTTGAGCCAAAATGGCTTGAGCCAAAATGGCTACGGAGGAGAAGGAGGAGGAGGAGGAGGAGGAGGAGGAGGAGGAGGAGGACGAGGACGAGGAGGAGGAGGAGGAGGAGGAGGGAGAAGGGGGGGGAGGAGGAGGAGAAACACGAGGACGAGGAGGAAGGAGGGGTGGCCCTCTCTTGCGGCGACGCCGCGGGGAGCGAGAAGGGCGGCCAGGCTGCGGGGCAGCCCCTGGCAGCGGCGCAGGGCGACGTCGCGGACGCACCCCGGGGCGGGGCCAGCAGGCCGCAGTGCGGGCGGGGCACAGCAAACGGAAGGGCGCGGGAGCAGCGGGGACCAGCCTCTATCCTCCCCGAGCCGACCTCGACCTTAGGCCTCGGTCCGACTGCGCCTCCGCCGGACCAGAGGCCGCGGCCCCCCGGGCAGCCGCGGGCGGCACCGGCGGCCGAGGCCGCCTGCCCGACCGCCAGCGAAAACGCCGCGGCGAGGACGCGGGGGGCGCGGCACGGCCGTGCGCCAGGCCCGAGCGCCCCGGAGAGCGCTCGATGGGTCGGGGGGCGCGGTGCGCGACCCCCCCGCCCCAAGCATCGCCCCAAGCACCCAAGCGTCGTCCCCCCTGCCGCCGGCGAAGGGCGCCGAGGCCAGCGCGCGGGCGCGGGACGACCGCGAGCCAGGCCCGAGCGCCCTGGAGAGCGCTCGAGGGGTCAGGAACCTCCCCTCCCGCTCCTGTCCCCTCCCCGCCGGGAGAGGATCGGGAGAGGGATCAAGGGGAAGGGGCTTCCCTCCGAGTGAATGACGACGTGGTGTGATTTCTGGCTGGCTGGATCGCTCGAAGCGGAGGAGCGGCGACGGCGACGACGACTCAAACGGAAAAACGTTTCACAGACGCCGACAGGGTCGGCGGAATTTGGCCCGCAAGCATCGTCCCCCAGCAAGGCCCCAGAGGCACTCCGAATATCCAGGAGCAGCCCAGCATGCCCCAAGGGCGTTCCAGGGCGTGCTGGGGCGTCCTCCTCCTCCTCTGAAAAGGGGCCCAGGGACACACACACACACACACACACACACACACACACACACACACACACACACACACACACATATATATATTCACACACGCACACGCACACGCACACGCACACGCACACGCAGACGCACACGCACACGCACACGCACACGCACACGCACACGCACACGCACTCGCACTCACGCACGCACTCACGCACGCACGCACGCACGCACGCACACACGCACACACACACACACATACATACACAAACAAACACACACACACAAACACACACACACACACACGCAAATAAATAGAAGTCCAAGGACTACCCATTATAGATGATCGTCTTCTCATCAATTTTCCATATTTTCCCATGTGTTCCTGGGGATCGGCGTTGATTTGTGTACTGTGTCGTTTTTCCCCTCTAGATCTTTTCTATCCTCCCCCCAGCTGTATGTAGTGCTTCAACACGTATTGTTCTGAAGCTCGAGCTTGTCGGCCCAGCCAGAGGTTGGAACCCTCTGGTGCGGCCCTTGGCTTGAATGCATTTCGAGGGACACCTCCCGAAGTGAGGCGTGCGGATCTGACAGCAACCAGACGATGCCACAGACAGCCGTGCAGTTGATGTCAACAAAAACCCTGTGTCATCTGCCCCACCTCGTCTCCACCTCCTCCCCGCCCTCCCCGCCCTCCCTCCCTATCATCCTCCACCTCTGGCTCCAGCTCCGATCGTCGCTCAAGTCCGCCCTACGTAGCCCTCCCTGGACACTAACCTGGCCAGCTCATCGAACTGCTCCCGGCCGTGGCCACGGGGGGCGCCACCCCAGAGAACCCCAAAAAGCAAACGCCACGACGACGACGGCGGCCATGACGGCGGCGGCAACGACGACGGCGGCTGCGGCAGCGGCAGCGGCAACGGCGGCGACGATGACGACGACGCCGGCGGAGCCGGCGGCAGCGGCAACGGCGGCAACGACGACGACGACGATGACGACGACGACGGCGGAAGCGGCAACGATGGTGCCGGCGGCGCTGGCCGCTGCGCCTGGCTCGCCTGGCTTTTGCCACCCTCGCTGCGGTCGTCGCGGTGCTGGTCGCGCTGCTGGTCGCGCATCCACTCGAGGTCGACCCTGTCGGAGGGGGCCCGCGGTGAAACCGAATAGCTCTCAAGCGTGATTGCGCACTTGGTGTTGCTCTGTCTGGCTCTAAGTGCATGTAGGGCAGCCCCTGGATTTGAGTAGCATCATTATCATCATCAGTAGCATCATCATCGTCATCAACATCATCATCACAATCATCACCAGCATCATCATCATCACCATCATCACCATCATCATCATTACCATCATCACCATCTTCATTACCTTCATCAGCAGCATCATCAGCATCATCATCAGTAGCATCACCATCATCATCAACAGACAACCAAGATGGCTGCGTTCGCATGACACCATTGAACCATTTCGGCACACTCTTTACACATTCCACCGAAAACCCAACATACAGCGCCCGCATGCGCCCGCCGCCATCCCATGTCGGCACACCCCTCACGCTTCGTGGCCCCATAGGGTGCTCTACCGAAGGCCGAACAAGCAACGCCCGCATGCGCCCGCCGAACCCATGTCGGCACACCCCTCAAACGTTGCGTGGCCCCATTGGGAGCTCCACCGAAGGCCCAAAATGCAGCGCCCGCATGCGCCCGCCGCACCCGTGTCTGACACCCCTCACACTTTTCGTGGCCCCATGGGGAGCCCAACCGAAAGCCCAATTATGCTAACGGAGTTCCCCACATAAAGATATTAATGGTTTCGTGGGACCCATGGGGTTCGACAACATCAACACGAAGGAGAAGCTCATCGAACGAGTAAGTACGCACGAAAGGGCAGACGAAAGAAAGGAGAAGGGAGGACAGGTGCTCAGGAAACGAAGCCTTGTAAATAGTACGGTTTCTTAATACCCTCCTCGCTCAGGCGGGGCCCCGCTGGAAGGGGGGAGGGGCACGAAACCATGTAAATAGCATGGGCTTCCGATACCCTCCTCGCTCAGGCGGGGCCTCAGGGGAACGACACCATGTAAATAGTATGGGTTTCCGATACCCTCCACGCTCAGGCGGGGCCTCCCTGGAGACGTGGGAAGGGCACGAAACCATGTAAATAGTATGGTTTTCCGATGCCCTCCTCGCTCAGGCGGGGCCTCCCTGGAGAGATGGGAGGGGCACGAAACCATCTGAATAGTATGGGTTTCCGATACCCTCCTCGCTCAGGCGGGGCCTCCCTGGAGGGGTGGAAGGGGCACGAAACCATGTAAATAGTACGGGTTTCCGATGCCCTCCTCGCTCAGGCGGGGCCTCCCTGGAGGGGAGGGAGGGGCACGAAACCATATGAATAGTATGGGTTTCCGAAGCTCAGACGGGGCCTCCCTGGAGGGGTGGGAGGGGCACGAAACCATGTAAATAGTATGGGTTTCCGATATCACCCTCCCTCGCTCCACCCTCCTCGCTCGCGGGCCTCCCTGGAGGGTGGGAATAGCACGAAACCGTGTAAATAGTATAGGTTTCCGATACCCTCCTCGCTCAGGCGGGGCCTCCCTGGAGACGTGGGAAGGGCACGAAACCATGTAAATCGTATGGGTTTCCGATACCCTCCTCGCTCAGGCGGGGCCTCCCTGGAGGGGTGGGAGGAGCACGAAACCATGTAAATAGTATTGGTTTCCGATACCCTCCTCGCTCAGGCGGGCCTCCCTGGAGGGGTGGAAGGGGCACGAACCCATGTAAATAGTATGGGTTTCCGATGCCCTCCTCGCTCAGGCGGGGCCTCCCTGGAGGGGAGGGAGGGGCACGACACAATGTAACTAGTATGGTTTTCCGATGCCCTCCTCGCCCAGACGGGGCCTCCCTGGAGGGGTGGGGGGGCACGAAACCATGTAAATAGTATGGGTTTCCGATACCCTCCTCGCTCAGGCGGGGCCTCCCTGGAGGGGTGGAAGGGGCACGAAACCATGTACATAGTATGGGATTCCGATACCCTCCGCGCTCAGGCGGGGCCTCCCTGGAGGGGTGGGAAGGGCACGAAACCATGTAACATGTAAATAGTTTGGGTTTCCGATACCCTCCTCGCTCAGGCGGGGCCTCCCTGGAGGGGTGAGAGGCGGGAGGCGGGAGGGAGAAGGAGAGGACGTTCTGGCCCCACTCAGGATGTGGGGAACAGGAACCCAACTCAGGATGTGGGGAAAAAGCAGCGCTCGCATGCGCCCGCCGCACCCGTGTCGGCACACCCCTCACGCGTTTCGCGGCCCCCATAAGGAGCCCCAACGAACGCCCAAAAGTGGGCGTCCGCATGTGCCTGCCGCACTCATTTCGGAAACACCCCTCACACGTTTCGTGGCCACCATGGGCAGCTCCACCGACGGCCCAATTAGCCTGGCGAAAGACCCGACCATATGCATCTGTGAATACCGTAATTGGGATATCGTCTTCGGTGGAACTCCGTGTAAGGGGCACGGACCGTGTGAAAGGCGTGTCGAGGGTTCCCGCTATAGCCACCAGTGGAGCTCCTTATGAGAGCCACGGGACGTGTAAGGAGTGTGCCGAAAGTGGTGCGACGGGCTCATTCGGGCGCTGCCTGTTAGGCCTTCGGTGGAGATCCCGATGGGGCCGCGAAGTGTGTAAGAGGTGCACCGAAATGGGATGGCGGCGGGCGCATGCGAACGCTGCCTTTTGGGCCTTCGGTGGGGCCCCCTCTGGGGGGCACGAAACGTGTCAGTGGTGCCGACATGGGTGCGGCAGGCGCATGCGGGCGCTGCTCTTGGGACCTTCGGTGGAGCTCCCTATGGGGGCAATGCAACGTGCGAGGGGTGGGCCACAAGACGTGTGAGGGGTGTACCGAAATGGGTGCGACAGGTGCATGCGGGTGCTGCATTTTGGGCCTTGGTGGAGCTCCCGATGGGGGGCCGCGAAACGTGTGAAGGGTGTGCCGACATGGGTGCGGCTGGCGCATGCGTGCGATGCCCGTTAGGCCTTCGGTGGAGCCCCCTATGGAGCCACGGAGCGTGCGGGGTGTGCCGACATGGGATGGCGGCGGGCGCATGCGGGCGCTGCGTTGTGGGCCTTCGGTGAAGCTCCCTCTGGCATCACGGAGCGTGCGAAGGGCGTGCAGAAATAACTGACGGGTTCGATGCGAACGCAGCCATCTGGGTCGTCGCCTGGTGATGATGATGATGCTGATGATGATGATGATGATGATGATGATGGTGATGGTGATGGTGATGGTGATGGTGATGCTGATGGTGATGACGGCAACGATGATGATGGCGATGATGACCATGGTGGAGATGATGGTGATGATGATGCGGATGATGAGGATGTCAATGATGCTGACGATGGCGATGACGATAAAGATGACGATGATGGTGATGATGAGGATGATGATCATGATATTGCTGATCATCATTATGCTGATCATGATGATGACACTTATGTTGATGGCGATGATGATGATGATGATGCTGATAACGATGATGACGATGATGATGGTGACGGTGAGGATGGTGATGGTGGTGATGATTGTGGCAGTGGTGATGATGATGACGATGATGATGATGATGGTGGTGATGATGATGAACAGCGACGACGATGAGGGTGACGATGACGACGTTGATGACGACGGCGATGATGATGAGAATGATGATGATGATAGTGATGAGGATGATGATGGTGGTGATGATAATGATGATGCTGATGATGATGATGATGATGATGATGATGATGATGATGATGATGATGATGATGATGATGATGATGATGGGGGAGGAAGGAGGAGGACAAGGCGGTGAAGAACACGGGCGCTGTCTCTTCAAAACGAGGACTCAACAGCACGGGATGGTAGGATCGATCATGGCGGGACCCATCGCGAGCAGGACGGAGGTAAGGTGCGCATTGCATGTGCACCTGTCTACTGCAAATTCTGCGACGATGTACTCGCGGTCGTGAGCTGCACAACGTGGCAACGATGCTCACCACCAGGCCCGCCGGGGCCGTGGCGCGAATCCGCGCCAGCCGCGTGGTAGCTCCCAAACGCAGTTTGGTGGAGACAGGGGGCCTCACCGTCCAGGCGGGCAATTTATACTTACCTACGTTTACATGCACCAAACAACAAGGACATGCCAATGTAAACTCTAGTAGAGGCTCATCAAACCAGTCCAGACAGGGCTATCACTTCTAGCACTCTGAAGACCGTGCGATAGTGGGGGAGCTCCACGTCCTCCCAAACTGGGGTCAGCCAGGAGTGGGTCAGATGGGGACTGGCTGGTGTCCGTTAGCGCCGCTGACCTCTATTACGTGAGCCCCGATCTTGGTGGGGAGAGAAACGCCTGGAGGTCCCCGTCGACTTCGGGTGGATTGACCTTTCTAGTCCCATCATTTTTTTCGTTGATTTCGGCCTCGAAGGGCTGTTGTCGCGCCCTGGCCCTGGCGCAATCAAAACGTGTCCCCTGGCAGACACGAAGTGTCCACAAGGAAATGGTTCAGGGTCAAGACCTCCGGGTCCGCGGATCGAGAAGATCAATCCATCCGATGTCTAGGGCTACGGCCACGCTGACTGTAACGAGATCGATGCTGACGACGATGGCAACCACGGCGACGACGACGACGACGACGACGACGAGCACGACGGCGACCACGACAACAACGATGACGTCGACGACGACGACGACCACGACGACGATGACCACGACGACGACGGCGGCGCCCACGACGGCGACCACGACAACGACCGTGACGACGCTCACGACGGTAATGACCAAGTTGGCTGATCCTGGAGGCCGCGCAAAAGGGGGAAGGAGTAGATGGGGTCGTAAGATCGTGCCGTGCAGCCGATGCATAGCAACGCATCGGCGACGTCGAGAGGGAGAACATCGGCCTCTGGATCGCGCAGCCCTGCCGATGCAGCGGCGACGCGGGGGCGACCTTCCGACCCGGTCTACTCTGGCCCGAGTTGGGCAGTATGGATATCATCAGCTTTGAAGGGTGCCAGGGAACTCACACCAGGGCAATGCTATTGCTTCAAGGGCTCTGCCAAGTGAGCGTTTTTTTTTATTCGGCGTTTCGACATTGGGCGGAAGGGGGGGATAGGGGGGGTCTGGCTCCAGACCTCTTCTTAGTGCGACTGTTTGCAGCAGTGGGTCCGATGAGGGGAGACTTCGCCCTCTCGAAACAGGCGCCCAAAACAGCCAAGATCTACTCCACGAGGGTGCGGAGAGGGGAGGGGGTGGACCGCGCCGATCGGCAACACAATGAATAACAAGTGGCACGCGCGCCATGGCTCTTGCACAGAAAGGGAGGGGGAGGAGGCAGAGGGGACGCGCTGGCTGGTGAATGGGGTGATGGAGGGGGCGCTCGGGATGGGGGTGTCGGGGCGGAGGGGGCGCGCTGGCTGGTGGATGGGGGGATGCGGAGGGGGCGCTCGGGTTGGGGGGCGGTGCCGTGCCGAGATGAATGGGTCAAGGCGGGGGGGGCGGTGCCGCGCCAAAACAAAGGGATCGGGGCGGAGGGGGCGCGCGCTGAAGGTGTGGGGGGGGATGCGGAGGGGGCGCGCGCGTGGAGGGGGCGGAGGGGGCGGCGCCGCGCCAGCATAAAAGAAGTCGGGTCGGAGGGGTGTGCCGTGCGGAAATAAAAAAGGGGTCGGGGCGAGGGAGCGCGCTGGCTTGTCGGTGGGTGCGTGGGTGGGTGGGTGGGTGGGGGGGAGAAATAACGGGGTCGGGGCGGAGGGGCGCACTGGTTGATGGGTGGGGGGGGTGCGGAGGGGGCGCGCGGGAAGGGAGTGGGGACCGTGCCGAAATAAAAGGGTCGCGGGCGGAGGTCGCGCTGGCTGGTAAGTGGGGGGATGCGAGGGGAGGGGGGGGCGTGCCGAAATAAAGGTGTCGGGGCTGAGGGGGCGCTCGGGCAGGGGGGGGAGTGGGGGGATGCGGAGGGGGCGTGCCGTGCCGAAATGAAAAGGGTCGGGGCGGAGGGAGGGGTGTGCCGTGCCGACATGAAGGGGTCGGGGCGGAGGGGCGCGCTGGCTGGTGGGTGGGGGGGGGGCGGAGGCGGTGTGCCGTGCCGAAATAAAGGGGTCGGGGCGGAGGGGTGTGCCGTGCCAGAAATAGAAAAAGGGGTCGGGGCGGAAGGAACGCGCTGGCTGGTGGGGGGGGGATGCGGAGGGGGCGCGCCGTGCCAACATATATAAAAAAATGGTCGGGGGGGGGGGGGGGGGCGGGCGCGCTGGCTGGTGGGTGGGGAGGTGCGGGGGGTGGTGTGGCGTGCCGAACTAAAAAAAGTGTCGGGGCGGAGGGGCGCGCTGGCTGGTGGGTGGGCGGATGCGGAGGCGGTGTGCCGTGCCGAAATAAAGAGGTCTGGGCAGAGGAGTGTGGCGTGCCGAAATAAGAAGGGTCGGGGCGGAGGGGCGCGCTGGCTGGTGGGTGGGGGGGATACGGGGGGGGGGGGTGCCGTGCCGAAATAAAAAGGGGTCGGGGCGAGGGGTGTGCCGTGCTGAAGCTAAAGGGGTCGGGGCGGAGGGGCGCGCTGGCTGGTGGGTGTGGGGGATGCGGAGGGGGTGTGCCCTGCCGAAATACAAGAGTCGGGGCGGAAGGGTGTGCCGTGCCGAAATCAAGGGGTCGTGGCGGAGGGGCGCGCTGGCTGGTGGAATCTGTGGGTGATGGAGGGGGTGTCGTGCCGAAATAAAGTTGTCGGATATCCAGCTCCAGACACCCTGTGCAAGAGAAAAAACAACACTAACGCCTCTCTTCGTCAGGAGAGCTTCGCCACCCAAGCCACTGGCGACTTGGAACCAATCGCTGGAGTGTCTTGAACACCTGAATCCTGTCGGCAGCATCCCCTGGGTGAGGCACAATCACATGGAAGTACGGAATGGCAAGAACCGTCTTAGGTCTGGGAAGCGATTGCCCACATAATGAGATTGTAACGCGCAGCTTGCACCGCAAAGCTTACACCACACAGCAGACTTACACCACATAGCGTGGATTCCTCTCGCTTCGCGGGGTGCACGTCCGGAGCACGTACAGTCCAGTCTTTGTCGGGCCTCTGGGAACTTCTTCGGGGCCCCGTGGAGGCCTCTTTGGGCCTCTTGGGTCCCCGCGGGAGGAGCGTCTGGGAGGCCTCTTGGGGGCCTCTCGGAGCCCCGTGTGGGCGTCTTGGGGGCGCTCTTGCGCTGTCTGGTCCCTTCGGAGACTGTATTGGGGTACTCTTGGGCCGTCTTTGGGGCTTCTTGGTGCATCTCGGCGGCCTCTTTGGGCTGCCTGGGGGCCCTCTTGGGCCGTTTTGGGGCTCTCTTGAGGGCTTCTTTGGCCGTCTGGGGGCCACTTCGGAGGCTGTTTCGGCCGTCCTGGACCTCTGAGAGTCGAAATAGGCGGGAACGCTGAAATCTTTAAAAAGCCATGGGAAAATCCATTGTTTTTTGGCTTCTGGAGGTGCTCTTGGGGGTCCTCTGGGGGACCTCTTGGGGCGTCTTGGGGTCTTTGTAGGCCCTCTTGGGGCCATCTTGGGTCGTCTTGGGGCCGTCGTGGGCCGTCTTGGGGCCATCTCGAGCCGTCTTGAGGCCCTGTTGGACCCCCAAGAGGGCCAACAGGCCCAACTCATTGATTTCCTATAGGTTTTGGTAGGTTTTTGAGGCGCAGGAGGGAGGGGCCACTTTGGGTCGGCGGAAGTGGTGTGGCCCCTGGGGGGTTAGGGGGGGTACATAATAATGTAACACAATACAACATGTAGAAATTATGTAATCATTGGATACATTGGATACGTTGCATTATAGCCTCCGCGGACCTGCCTCCGGCAACACGTCACCTCCGGACGTGGATTACAAATATTCCACCACATGGACTGCACCAAATGAAATCCACGTAACTTGTATCACATGGCTTGCATCACCTAGCTTACCCACTGGGGGTCCACACTGCCAAAACTACACACATGCACACATGCACACGCGCATACACAACACATGTACGACATATGCATGCTTGTATGCATGAATGAATGTATGCGTGTATGTGTATTTGTATATGTGCCTACATGTCTGGCTATATGCACGCATGCATGTGTGTATGTCGGTATGCAAACATGAATGTGTGTATGAATGTATGCATGTATGCAGATGCGCATGTATGTATGCATTCCTGAATGCGTGCATACGTGTATGCATGCACGTGTGAATGTATGCAGTTGTGTAGGCCTGTATGTATGTGCGCACGCATGCATGTATGTGTGTAGGTATGTGTGTATGGGTGTATGGGTGCATGTATGAATGTAGTTAGGCATAGGTGCATGCATATATGGTTGTATGGATGGATAGATGACTGTATGTATGTGTGTAAGTGTGTGTGTGCATGTACGTATGCATGTATGTATGTGTGTAGGTAGGTAGGTGGGTAAGGTAGTAGGTGGGTATGCATATATGCAGATATGTATGGGTGCATGTAGGTATGATTATGTGCACGTATGCATGTATGTATGTATGCATGTGTGTAGATAGGTAGGTCGGTAGGCGGGTATGTGTGTATGTGTGTATGTGTGCATGTGTATGGGTATGTGGATGTGGTTGCGTATGTATAACCCCAGGAAGCATTTAAGAACCCCCCGGCGATATCTTAGCACCGCATTTTTATTCGATATTCCGAGGGGCCGAAATAACCGCACGATAGGTTTAGCACCCGGACACACAACAAATTCGCGGAGGCCTGGCCCCTGGGCTACAATCGAAATTCGAAATTCAAATCTGCGTGGCTCTCATGAAAGACTCAGGATGTCGCTTGCTGCTTGGAAAATTCATGCAATGATAATAGATAGGAGGAGGAGGAGGAGGAGGAGGAAGGAGGAGGAGGAGGAGGAGGAGGAGGAGGAGGAGGAGGAGGGGGCAGGAGGAAGTTCGTGGGTGGAGGAGAGGAGGAGGAGGAGGAGGATGAGGAGGAGGAGGAGGGCCCCTGGTGCCAGGTAACGCTTCCAGGGTGCGGAAGGGTCATCGATTTGCCGGAAGGGGGGGGGGGTTCTTAAATGCTTCCTGGGGTTATGCGTATGTGTATGCGTATGTGCATGGATCTCGGCCTACGATTCATACATGTACACGCCAAAATGCCTCGAGGCCCGAAGTGGACTGGCCTCAGGTCCCTCGGTGTACCCTGTATGAAGACTTGTACCACTCTTTAGCGAGCCCACGCCCCAAACATTCTTCAATTTTGCGGGGGGCGTCCCGCATGCAGGTTTTCCTCCCCGCGCGTCCTGGCATTTTTTTTCGGGACCAAGAGCTCCCCAAGACGGCCCACGAGGGCCGCACGAGGCCCCTAAGACGGCCCAAGAGGGCCCCGAGTCGCCCGAAGATCGCTCCAATGCACCAGAGATGGCCTCCAGACGGCCCTGGAGGCCCCCAAGAGGCCCAAGAGGGTCGTTGAGGCTCTCCTCGGGGACCCCGAGAGGCCAGCGTTGATTCCCAGCTGGTCGTTGACAGAGTTTAGCATTCTCGCCTTTTCGGGCTTTCGATGCCCAAAGACGACCCACGAAGCTCAAACGATCGCCCAAACACGGGCGAAGAGGCCCTCTAAGAGGGCCCCCAGGCGGCCCAAGAATCCCCCAGACGGCCGAAGAGGCCCCCAAGGGCGCACAACAACAAATGCACACGTGTATCATGCGAACGCGTGCGCGAAAATGTAGCCATGCCCCCCGGAGACCCCGCCAGGACCGGGATCCCCGACAGAGAGGACTCGTACCGCCTGACTCCTCCACGCGACCCACCTCCTCCTCCTCCTCCTCCTCCTCCTCCTCCTCCTCCTCCTCCTCCTCCTCCTCCTCCCCCTCCTCCTCCTCCTCCTCCTCCTCCTCCTCCTCCTCCTCCTCCTCCCCAGACCCCCCCGCAGACGACACGGCGACCGCCGCCGCGACGCCGACGCCCCCGGGGACGACGGCGGCGACGTCCGACCACGACGGGCAGCCCCGCCGCCGCCGACCCTCCGCCGACCCCTCCGCGCCGCTGCCGACGGAGGGCCGCCGCCGAGGGCCCCCGCCCGGCAGGGCGGGGCGGCCGCCGGGGGGCCGCCTGGACTTCGTCTGCTGCTTCGGCGCCCACGCCTTGGCGGCCATCGGCGCCCTCTCCACCTGCGCGGGGGGGCACGCAGGGTCAGGTCGGGCACGTCCCCCCGCAGGGGGGGATCTCTCGGAGGAAGAAGGAGGAGGCCCCCAAAAATGTGCAGGCGTGGCAAAAACAGATGCTCCGAGCATCGTCCCCAGGCAATCTTTGGCCCATGTTTGAATGCTCCTCCTGTAGAGGGACAGGCCCGACGTCAACGTAGGGGAACGAAGAGTGACATAAGCATGAAAACTCGGAGGTCCGCGCGGATTCGTCGGATCAAACAACCCCGCGCGGACCTCCGAGCTGTCGTGCTTATGCCATGTCTCGCTCCCCTGGGCAAGGCGCCAGGCGCGTGCCTCTTTGCGGGGGGGGGGGACGGGGAGGCTCAGAGGAGACCCCCTGGAGAGCTGCGACAACCGACCACGGCGGGAGGCTGTCTCTGCTGCTATGTCCTGCCTCCTCCGGGGGCCTCCCCCGCCCTCGAGACCGTCGGCAAGCGACCCGGGCCGAAACGCCGGCCCCGGGGAATGGGTCGAGGCCTCCGACGCCGACGTGGTGAGCATCACGACGTCGGGGGGCCTGGGGGGGCCAGGATGGCGAACGGTCGGGTGGAGGACCCGCTCGCGCAGCCGGCTTTCCTGGCGCCTCCTGGCGCCCGGGGGCGCCCACGCATCAAGGACTGGGGTCCCCGGCGGCGGAGCGGTGGAGCAGCAGCGGCATGCCGCAGACTTCGTCGCCCCCCCCTGCCCCAATGCTGTCCTTCCGCAGGGGCCCGACGCCGGCGCGCCCCCAGGCGCACGGCATGTCCTGAAGTCAGGAGCGACAAAAGGACGCACACGTGCATGAGTCCACGCTGCTTTCGAGAGTACGCATTGCGCAAATGTTCGTGTAACGCGGCCGGTCTCGCGGATCGAGAGGCCGTGTTCATGTACATAGCTGGGCGCGTACGTCCTTTGTGGGTTCCCTATAAAGCGCGCGGGCCCGCGTGAGCCAGAGGTGGCCCGCGCCAGCGAGAAGCCCGTCGTGCGTCGGGGCGCGTGGCGCCACGACGGAGACTCGAACAGGGGCGACGGACCTGGGCAAAACCAGGTCGTCCTCCCTATGAGACTCTGCACTGGGAAGATGCCAGGGGACTGGCTGCGGCCGAAGACGGGGACCCCGACGACATGGTGTTCCTATCCCACCAGCCTCCCTACAGGTCTACCTCCTGGGCATGGGGCCGCCTTCGGGCCCTGCGACCACACGAGAGCGATGCAGGACGCAAAACCTCCATGGGGAAGGGGTCGAGGGCTCTAGGATTAGGTGGGGCGTGTCCCCCCGCAGGCGGATTTTGGACGAAAAATAAGAAGTACCGTACACATATGCAAAGCTTCTAAGAACGATAGTCGAAAGATCGTCCCCGACTATGTTTTGACTGTTTTTGAATCTTCGTCCTGTGGAGGGACACGCCCGACTTAACTCTAGGACGCAAAAACTCACACGCCGATCTGCCCGAAGGACGCACCGTCCCGGGCGCAAACGCCCCGGACGCCCGTGCGAGAGCCCCGTGGGGGGAATCGGGCGTCTCCTCTTGCCGGGGGAGGCTCAGAGGGGGGGAGGAAAAGGGTGCACTTTTCGGGCCCTGAAGACCCATGGGGGGAATTTAAGTGGGCGTCGCTCGATGGGATTAACAAGATGAACAGCACTGGCGCAACCAGACTCCATGAACGCAGGGAAGCCAAAACACTGGGCCGCCCTCGGCTGAAAAACAGCAAAAGAGGGGCGCCCCGTGGACGACGAAGGTGGGGGGGGAGAAGAAAGGTCTCTTCGGGCGCTCCCCTGGGGCCCCTCGGGGGCCTCTTCGGGGCCCTCGAAAGGCCCCTTCGCTGGAGCCCTCGCTGCCCCGACCATTCGTCACCCCCCCCCCTCCTGACGCGACGCCCAGGGGAGCTCCAAAACTGTCCTCCGGGAGGCCGGACGCACAGCACACCCAGCCAGGACCTCGTGCGTAGACGAGCGCGTTCCACGACTCGCACAGTAGCCACTCGCACATGCCCTGGATCCGTCGAGGGGGACCCACGACACATGACATCGAAGCAGGCATGTGTTTTTGTTTCGGACGTTTGCGAGCAGGCGCTCTGCGAGTAGTGGAACGCGCCCGGTGACTGCGGAGCGTGCGCAGGCCACGCGCTCCGGGTGCAGGAGCAGAGGGCCCGCCCAAGCCGCTCCGCGGTGGCCGAGCGGGCCGCGGGTGTGTCCGCTTCTCGCCCAGGCCGGCCACGCTGCGCCTCTGCGTAGCCTCTCGGGCGGGCTGGGCCGAAGAGTCAGGGATGCCAGGGCGCCCTCGCGGAGGTCCCGCATTGTGGGGTCGCCGCGCTGGGCCCCCTCGGGCGGCGCCTCCGGCGCCACCCCTGGCGCGCTCCGCGCGCCTAGGGGGCTCCCAGCGCAGATCCAAGAACCCGCGCGGAGCGCCCAAAGTTATGGTTATGTGATGGGCTTCTTTTCCACCACCACCACCATAAGTTGGAGGGGAGAAGGAGGTGGAGGATGATGAGGAGGAAGAAATAGCGGGGGATGAGGACCCCCCTCTCCAACTCATGGTGGTGGTGATGGAAAGCAGGCCCATCATTACGGCGCTGTTCTTCTTCGGGCTGAGACTTGGACGCCCGAAATGGGCACGGAAAAAACTGTGCACAATGCCCAACAGCAAATGTTGTCCCGAACCGACAGCGGCCGCTTTCGGGCAGGCGGCCTTCTACCTCGAATGGGCACAGGCTGCAGCGGCTTGGACAGCGAGCCTTGTTCAAAATGAACAGGAACTGCTGTCGGTCGTTGTGCCCAGTCTTTCCGTAATTACCCATGTCGTTATGGATGCCACGCCAATGGACACCCTAACAGTCCTATCATTGAAAGAAGTAGGTGTTTAAAATGTGTACACCCTGTGTTTAAACATGTTGGAAACATGTGTTCTTAACACGTGCCAAACAGACTTGGAACATCTTTTAGACAGCTGGAACAAACATATTTGGCAGCATGCTTCCTCTCCGTTAATCGACTTCCACGACCACGTCGTCACGTCGGCCGTCCGATGAGAGACCGCGGCAGCTCGGAAAACCGACCCAGAAACCCCTCCCGGTGCGCCCTGGCGGCTCGCGCTGCGCCCGGCCCCGGCGGCGAGGGGAGGCCCCCCAATAGGCCGCCGCCCGTGCCTCGCGCGCGGCCGCGGCGCACCAAGTCCTGGGTCCTTGCCGCCCGAGCCTAGCGCCGCATCTGGACGCTGATGACGGGCAGGAGCGCCTTGAGCTCCTCAGGACGAAGAGCACGCTGCAGCTGGGCCCTCCGAGCGCGAGCCGCAGTGAAAAGCAGGCAAAAACAGACGGGAATCCTGAATCGTTCCCAGCACGGCTCAAGAAGCCCAAGAAGGTCGAGACCGTCCCACCCCACCTCGAACCGCACCCCAAGAATGTCTTGGACGGCCTCCAGAAAGAGAGGGCACATCCAGTAGTGTTTGATCGCATCAGGAGCTGTACATCCTACACAACAAGCCGACTCCTGCTTCTGAAACCGGTTTTGTGTGAGCCAAGCTTTGCTTAGCGTCCGAACCAGGGCAAAGGAGTGCGCCGTTTTCATCTTAGACATTGCGGCGCTCACGGCCGCCCAGTCAGTCCTAGCAATCCTGTCCCGTTCGCCAGGGAACCAATCGTGGAGCCTACGAAGGAAAAGGGATCTCAGGGCCTCTCCGGGGAACATAGAAACAGTGAAAGCTTCAGTTAACAAGCGTTGGATGCGAATTCTTTTGCCCCTGCGGCCCTCGCGGGCCTCGCGTCTTTGCTCGGAGAAGAGTCCTCGAAGTAACTCAAAACCCGGGGCCATCAGAGCGCGCCGTTTATCATCAGGATACCCAAGAGATGCGGTCCGAAGAAACTGACAGTAGGCTGGATCCTCCCAGAAGTTAGGCCATAGACGTCCTCGGCATATCTCGATCAGCGGGATGGCCAAATAGGCTCTCTCCAGCAGCATCCTATACATCTTCTGCCAGGTTCCGTCGAACGTGGAAAGGGCAGCTCGGGCGTGCGCGGCATAGGAGGTGACAGTGACCGACGGACCTCCCCACCTGTTCATCGAGAACCACCCAGCCCTGCTCAACGCACAATGAAGGAAATTAAATACACGAGCCAGCGTCGACGTCTCTTGCGCCAGTAGCTCTGGGGGCGGCGGGCAGTACTGGGCCACGTATGATAGGGTCGCGGCGCATCTCGCAGAGCACAGGTTGGCCGCGACGGCCGTGGGGGCGTTGGCACCTGCAAGCATGTTGCTGCGGAGGCGGTATTTGTTCCTCGGGGCTGTCCAGGACTTACGGTGCGATTTGGGTCCCACCCACATCCCCAGGTATTTCAAGTTAGGAACGATAACAAACTCAGCCCATGAAGGAACCAGAGAAGCCACAGCAGCGGCATACCGAGCGGCCAGTTCGGGAGTGAAGTCGCCTGCTCGAGGAGTGATATGGCACTTACATGTCTCCAGAACCAATGCGGCCAGCAGCTGGGCCATACGGAAACCCGATGCAGAACAGTGAAGAATTTCATCATCAGGATAACGGCCCCCAGATCATCAGCACACGCCAGCATCACTCCTCGGTGCTTGTCGACAAACTCAGCTTTAAAGTCCAGCAGGAACTGATTCAGCGCTGCCACAAACAAGGCCCCGCTGGCGGGGCAGCCCTGAATTATGCCAGACCAAATCGATAAGAGCCAGAGCCTCTGACGACCAAGAACACCATAGCAATGGACGTTCGTATAAGGAATGTTGAAGAAACCAGAGGAGAGGTGGGGGAAGCGAAAGATGTTCGAGGAGCATCTGGGGCCACTTGTGGGAGACGGAGGGGAAGGCCTGGGAGAAGTCGCATGAAAAGATGGCTGGGAGATCGGTGTCGGCCGAGGGGGACATTGGCGCGATCCTGGCATAGGTGTCCAGCTCTACAATATTCGCACCAAATTGATGTCCTATCGTGAAGCTGCGCTGGAGCGGACAACTGACTTCGGCCACC